TTCGAGTTATCTACAGGATACCTTGCAGAACTCTTCAAGTTAATTTCAAGATACCTTGCACTTTGCAGTTATACTCTTCAAGTTAACTTCAGGATACATTGCATTGTAGTGCTTTTTAAGTTAACTTCAGGATACCTTGTATCACTTTTTAAGTTAACTCCAGGATACCTAATTGTAGTACTCTTCAAGTTAATTTCAAGATACCTTGCAGCTTGCAGTTATACTCTTCAAGTTAACTTCAGGATACATTGCATTGTTATAGTACTCTTCAAGTTAACTTCAGGATACCTTGCAGTACTCTTCAAGTTAACTTCAGGATACCTTGTAGTACTCTTCAAGTTAACTTCAGGATACCTTGTAGTACTTTTCAAGGTAACTCCAGGATACCTTGCAGTACTCTTCAAGTTAACTTAAAAATACATTCTAGTTAATTTTAAGCAGAATGTTTAAGATAGATCTTAGAATGAAACAAAAAAGCCCTTTTCAGACAAAACTTAGTAGCTATACTATTCTAAGCAATGTTATTCTGACATTTGGAAATATTTCCTTCCGTTTGAACATAGACTATATTGCTTAGGATAAAATGATATTCTTAATAATCACTGCAATTCTGTAAAAGCCATACACAATTCTTCTGTTCAGTAAAGCAATTCTTCGAAAATATAACAAAAGGATACGGCACCGGGAATTCCCAGGCGGTCACCCATCCAAGTACTAACCCGGCCTGCAGTTGCTTAACTTCCCAGATCGAACGAGATGGGGTGTATTCAACCGAGTATGGCCGTATCCAGTGATGTTGAATTTTGCTCCTCTATATCTTCTCACACAAATTCTTACACTCACACCGACCCTGTATGTGGTTCATCGATTAATTATTATAAGAACAAGTTGTTAGAATACATTAAATTCCTTTGACAGATAACAATACAATATTTTCCTTATCTTCTAATTAAACTTCGTGATAAGTAAACTGTTAACTTCATGCCAACTCTATATTATACTTCACACTGCACACGGTACACACTACATAGTTAATGGTTGCCTTGTTGTGGAATGTTATTAAAGTATTAATCACCATAAAAAATGTGACTGCTCTGATGAAATTACTCCAATAACCGAAATCACTTATATTCACTGATATTTTTGTGTGCCTGTTCAGTGTTCATAGTAGCTAGATCAGCTAGGTGCGCTGATCTGGGCGCGCTCAAAAAAGCAAATTGGGGACACGTTTTTGTTGTTTTTTGATAGTCGCGAGTAAAATTTACTTTTAAAAACTTTTGACGAGGTGTTAGAAGCCATCTTAAGGTCTAAAGAGATGAAATCTTGACTAGCACCTACCTGAAAGGCTTTTATCCAACGGGTTTTTCTCAGATTTTTGATATCTCACTTCCTTTTTCCACAGGTGACCGAAACGTACACGTCATTCTGGACTGCATGCGACTACTCTCGTTACTGAAAGAGGTGCTGTGCGACACACGATTATCCTAGGATGATGAGAGTTAGTTTCTGGGAAAGCCCTAACGATGCTTAAAACGATAGGGGCTGAAAATATTATCAATTATTGAAAACGTGTCCCCAGGACTTCGTTGAAGTCGCGAGATTCGATAACCGTAAAATAATGTCGCAAACTACTAGCAAAAACGTGTCCCCACGCGCCAGGGTTGCTTATACTTCAAAGTAATGTTAGGGCATTTTTTGTTATTTGTGCTCCTTTAGTATTTTCCCGATATAAAGTTTTACAGGATATATCTTTAGATAGATTTCTAGGAAAACATAAATAAGAGACAATATCTTTTGATCCAAAAATAGCATCCCCAATGGATGCTGAAATTACTCCAATTCCCTTGAGAAAAAGATAATTAACTGGAGATTTAAATCTTGCAATTTTTTCTAAGGACTGGTGCCAACATTTTTGGGTTTAGATTTCAAATTCTTAAGAAAAAACGAAGAAATGTCATCAAATTCAGGTGAGATTACATCATAGCCTAGTAAGGTTTCCGGCCGCATGTTTAGCTAAACGAATCACTTTTAGCAGTGATAATTTAATTCACCAAATCGGGCCCCCGTTTTACAATTGACGTAATTTAATTTATCGTTGACACATTTTATGGGCTCGTTATCTTGTTTTCGAAAGTTTTAAACTATGAATTGACTATAAGCCAGCATAAAAAATACTTCGATATTCTTACCACAAACTGGAAACTGTGACAAAAACTGCGCATTCTGACCACAGCCCAGACTGTGCGTTATGACCACATATTGTGCGTTGTGATCACAAACTTAATTATGCTGTGACCACAGATTGTATGTTGTGACCATAGACAGTGCATGGCCTGGTGACCAATAACTTTTTGTTGAGACCAATCACTTTCTGTTGTGACCAATAACTTTCTGTTGTGACCAATCACTTTTTGTTGAGACCAATCACTTTCTGTTGTGACCAATAACTTTCGGTTGTGACCAATAACTTTCTGTTGTGACCAATCACTTTTTGTTGAGACCAATCACTTTCTGTTGTGACCAATAACTTTCTGTTGTGACCAATAACTTTCCATTGTGACCACAAACTGTGCATTGTGACCACATTTTCTGGAGTGAGACTGTGACCAAGTATTTTATGAACTGTGCAGTATGTTACAGTATGTGCAGTATGTTACTACGAACAGTATGTGACTGTGAACAGTATGTGACTGCGAGCTGTACCTGCAGTCAATGGCTACTAGTATTATAAAGACCTGAATATCCAATTGAACGAGGGTTTAATTTTAACCCGCCTTCACTCCGTTAAACGTGATGTGGTTACTAAAATAAGTGATATCTTGAGGTGCTATGGGTGATGTATTGAGGTGCCATGGTGAAATATGACATATGGACAAAAGCCCAGAACGTGCAACTCCTCGCACATGATTGACCAATACAAAATTGCTGTCAAAGCCTCAATTTATACGCTGTTGTCGGGGAATCGAAAAAATCATTACTCCCAAAAGTGATGATAGAGTGGCCGGTTGAGCGACCGTTGAGTCTTTCACGTGACCCGGTTTACAGTGCTCACGTGACCATATTGTACAGGACTGCTACAGGGCTGGAGCACGTGCACGTTTCCACGACTACAATTAGCGTTGTCATGGGACTCGGAAGAACAAAACAAGTAACACATACCGGGCCAGTTTAAAATCCGCATATACACCGAAGGAAGGGTCGGGGGAGGATGAGTGTAAGATAAAGAGTCGCAGGGTGGTACAATTAGCTGCGCTATTGTGTCCCGTCTCCACGTGCGACCAGACCTACCATGTGCTTCGAATGTTGGTGCTAATCGCCTGGGTAATCGGTGTTGTTGCCATGGAAACACGTGGGTTGGTGCCCAGTAATCGTAGCACGTGGAATTGCCGCCACTATATACCCGCTCCCACTAACAGGCCTCATTCCGTCAAACCGTATTATTTTTGAACTTTTCGTTAAACTATTTCTCTCAATTTTACAAAATTTTAGTTAAAAACCTTGAATCTTTAACGTTTTTAATTGGATTAAGTCTTGTCTGCAACTTTTCAGAGGTTTTTGTTTAAAGTTTTTTAAGTTTTTTGGCAGAGGTATTCGCTTATTCCGCAGCATCTTTTTAAAGTTCCCTAACGTCTAATAAATAATCATAGTATCTCAGTATCTCATGATGCAGCAGACAAAGTCAAACCTGCTGGGCTATGTGCCAATTTAAAAAATGTTTGAACGATGAACCATATTTTATCAAATTCTATCAAATTCTATCAAATTCTATCAAATTCTATCAAATTATATCAAATTATATCTAATTATATCTAATTATATCTAACGCTGTCGTTTATCAATTTAAACCAAGTTCCGTTTTTGTTCCCCGGAAAAGGGTATTTTTATCGTACAAATTCAAAATTACTGGAAGACGAGATACCGTCTTCCAGTGAAGACGGTAAGTCCGACAAAAAGTGATTTCATGCACTGTTAGATTATTACTTGTTTGGAGGGTTTCGCTAGGCATATCCATTTTGGCACGAGTCTTAACAAATTACCGCCAACGCCGGTCATTATAAGATTATAATTTTAACTGATAAGAGTTCACTTTTCTCAATAAAATAACATGCTCAACTAGTTAACATGTTAGTAGTTTCGTTACCTTTTCCCTGGTATGAGGTATTTTGTTTACGACGAGAAAATCATTAAACAACTGCTGTATTTTAAAATTAGATTATTCTAGAAATCTAGGATGGCAGTTAAAATAACTGTTAGATGTGACGTATGTGACGTATGACCATGCAGAAAGGGATGAAACATGTTGAGACACAAAGATGCAAGACTTTACCTCCTTGAAACATCCCGATTCCCACGTCGACGTCACAAAAAGATCTGGAAACAGCGATAACATTCTCACCAAGCCCTTACACCTACTTATACAATTATCCAATCATAACCTATCAATCAAACATCATTACCAATCAATTAAACCTATTACCGGTTAATCAAACCAAATACCGTATTACATCAAACGAATTACAAGACTCCGAACTTCACACAAACATAGTCATGACTTCACCCATGACCGGGAGGACATTTAAAGAGTATCGTTTAAGACGATAATGTGAGCCGGAAAAGTTACGTACTTCTGAGCGAATAAAATTACCTGCAGGAACAGCCGCGACGAGGATTTGTAGCTGTAACCGGGTACTTGATACCGGGTCTCACTGTCTGTCGGGACCCATGACCGTATTAGTGTATTACCTGTTGTGTCTTTATTCATTGACGCTCTTTTACTTTTAGGGTTTTAGTTTGGTTCAGACATTATCAATTTTGTCGAGTTTACTTGGAGTTTAAATCTAATGTTTGAATTTATCACACTATTAAAATAGTGATTGTCACCACAATGCCTTAGTTAAGTTAAACTGCAATTGGTATTTAAACACTATCAGACATCAGTTGAATCACAACCCTAACCAGAACCCCTCACTTAACAACCCTAACCAGAACCCCTCACTTAGAAACAAAATGCAAGTTCCAGCACTCCTCCAAGTACCACCGCCTCCCCCCACCCTGTTCACAGATTCCGCCTTCTCCAGCTACAAGACCAATAAGGCCAGTCCCAAGAAGTTCAAGTGCCCCCATCTGGGGTGCGACAGGAGCTTCGCCAAGTCCGACCATCTCAGGACTCATGTCAGAACTCACACTGGAGAGAGGTAATTAATTAGTGTTATTGTTTTAATTAATTTAAGTATCAATATTCAATTACTTTTACTTACTTATATTACGTTCGAACAAAGCAAACTAGGAAAATATTTGACACGTACCCGTACGGACGTTATCCAGTCAATCTTAATCTAACATTGAGTCAACTTGAAAACGAACTAGCGTTCCTTTGCAGAATCCGAACAAACTGTTTGACATGTTTCATTTTAAATTAAATCCAGCATTTATCAGACCATTCCGGTGTACTCACGATGGATGTCACAAGGAGTTCTCAGACCTGGCTAATCTGAAGAGACACATGAGGGTTCACACTGGTGAACGTCCCTTCACGTAAGTTACTTTTATTGCTTAATTAGATTTTAATTATCTGTTAATTAGCTCTCTTGTTCAGTTTTTATCGTAGCAACATTACAGATTTACTCACATGGCTATTAATTTGAATCTTCACTTTTTAAACTACAGAAAGTTTAAGTCCCTCAGATATTCTGATTAATGTTATACCAGAACTGAGAATATGGTACTAAGGTTAGAACTTAGAGACCACGTATACCTTTCAAACTACACATTTTTTAACGGATTATCCTAAATCTAAATCTTTACTTCCTCACTCAATAACATTACTTCCAGGTGCCCGGAGACAAGCTGTGGGAAACAGTTCTCAGTGTCCAGTAACCTCAAACAGCACATGAGGGTACACACGGGGGAGAGACCCTACTCCTGTCCAATATGTGGCAAGGCTTTCGGTCACGTGAGCAGTCGGAGAAAACACATGAACATCCATGAGGGTAGTTCCTTCAAGGTGAGCTATTGATCATTCTGCATTAAAATTTAAAATCTGCGATCAAGATAAAACTGGGAGTACGGGTATAAGAATCAGATTGAAAACTGCAACCCAATACTGAACAAATAAAAAAGTTCACGATATCAATTTTTTCAGGATTTCACAAAGGGAGTAAAATCCGATTTAATCCTATCGTAAAGTAATACAAATCAAAAACTAATCCCATTCATTAAGCCCTCAACTAACTAAAAACCTTTCAGAACCTCCTAGATAAGCGCTCCACAACAGACCAGCTCAAGAAGATGAGTCCCCAGACATCTCGATGGAGGACCAACAACCTGGCCAGACGAGACCAGCACATCATGGGACACATGGTCCGGAGACCCTCCTCTCGGGGAAGCGAGGGCAGCTACGAGTCCACCTCCCCCACCACCCTCCCCAGACTCTCTCCTGGAAACATGGGCACCCCTGAAGGAGTGTACCACCGTGTGTCCCCTGGAGCAGACCCGCTCTCAGTCCCCTACTTCACCTTCCGACCTGAGCACCACAGGCTCTTCCACCCCCACCAGAGACAGGACACACTGGAGACAGTCCTCAGGAGACAGGAGACACGAGATGTGAAGCCGTTGAGGAAGGAAGTATCACGACCCCGGCCTTGCTACCCTGGTCAGGAGAATACAAACACCCTCAACATGATGGTGAAACGAGAGTCACCTGTTAGCTCTACCAGCGAGAATACCTACTCAGCGGAACCCATGGAGACAGAGAACTCACTGAAACAGAGAACACGAGCACTAGAGGAACTGAAACAGGAGACAGTGATCGCAGCGGGGAGGATCGCTATAGCCCGGTGTGCGGGGTTCAACAACGCTATGGAGCTGGGAAGGTACGTGACCGTGGCTATGGACACCTCCTACAAGATCGCTAGTCTGGCTATTTTCCTGTACCAGAACGCTAGGATAACACCCAGACAGGTACCAGTCAGAACTATTCAGTAGATACAAGTGTGCTGATGACGTCATGTCGGACAGAACTATGACATCACGTCTATTTGATGACATCACGTTTATTTGGTGACGTCACGTTTATTGTATGACGTCACGGTTGATTCTCGTCATATAACGAACCACTTTGCACTATGACTGCGTCGTATTGTTTTACGTTTGACATTTGATTTATTATTTTGATTGTTAATTATATTTTCACGGGATTGTCGAATATACACTATATTAAAAGCCTGATCGATTTAGTTTGTTTGTTTGTTATGATTTGCATAAAAGAGATGATGTCACAAGGAATTTTTACAGAGTGAACTCGTATTTGTGCAGGCCACTGAAATTACGGAAGTTTCCTTTTGTGACAAATATTTTTAACTGATTTGTACTACCGTACCTTATTTGCACACGGACCCATTTTTGATAAGAACAGGATAACTCGATTTTTAACGGTATTTTTATCAATTTTTAACGTATTTATATCCCCAAAAGAAGCGTAACATCTTTTTAAAGCATCCAATAAAATTCACTGAAAAAAGACAATTTTTTTGAGAAAAGACAATTTTATTATTTATCACCAATTCAATTATGTCAATGTCATGGCCCATACATGGTGTATGCAGGAATTTCGTGGATGCTATTGAAAAAACAGATTTTGAAGGGTCGTCATCCTCATTCCTCATAATGTCACTTAATTTGAGATTTCACGACCACGTGCAGTTGGTTTTATGGCATTCATTTTTATCGGAAGAGTCAAAATATATCAAACTATTGACAGTGCATGCTTTATTTGGGCCGTTAAAGGAGCTGAGCGTCAGTAAGGTTTAAGAATGTTGAGTGTTTCACGAATTATTTTGACCGTTGAAGGGTTTTATAGGACACCTAAAAATAGCTTTGCCATAAAAATGGATCTTTTTACCGAAAATGTTTTATCATAGATCAAACAAGAGCCTTTAACGGTAAAATTTGCATGTTGTTTCAGGATGATTCCTAGTATTTATTAAGTAATTATTTGATAATATTTAACATGGTTAGGTTTTTACGCGATGTTTTGTTTCGAGCATTTTATTGTTTTTAAGGTTTTCTGGTAAAATCTGATATTACCCAGAGCATGAGCAGGACATTTTAATCACGTCCGAAGAACATCAACTTTCCGATCGATCAATTAATTTACGATATCGTACTTCATGGATATCATTACAATTGTTTAGTTATTTTCTTATAGTCAGATGATTGTTTGGATTGTTTGAACAATGAATGCTTATGTTATATTGATTTTGCAATATGTTTATGAGAAAACTTAAAACCTTTATAACGTGAACTACTATATACTGGATTTTCTTTCTGTACCGTGCATTCTTCGTTTCCTGATAAGCCCGGTATAAAGAGGTTTTACTGCAGTAAGAGTATTCAGATATTTTCCTATTAGGGATCGTTCACATATCACGTAATCACTATTTGGAATCTTTTACCCTCCCCCTCCGTAATCAGTTTTACACATAGCTATTGTGTCAAAATTACACTAGCGTAATCATTCGGAAACCCCCCCCCCCCGCCCCCCCCCCCCCTCTGCTGATTACGTAATATGTGAACGACTCCTTACAAGTGGCGATCCTCAGGGATCAGATTATTACGTGAACGCATGGAATGATCAAATGTTCAGCCAATTTAACTCTGTGCTTTTGCGTGTAATTCTAAGTTAAAGTAATGTTGTAAAAAGTAATATTACTCCTAATTTAAACTGTATTGTAACTAGTCTAGAATAATTGCGTTAATTTCACATTATCTAGTTGCTCAAGTTTGTTTGTTAGTTTGTTAAGTGAGACCTTAGATAATATAAAATGAGAATCCAGTCCTCACTGTCGATGCTTTTCTTGATATCAGTTTGTTTTACTGAGAACGATTTGTCATTCGAAATTATTGTATAACTATTATTGGTTAAGTTTCCATTGTGAACTGAGATTGTTATTTCTACATAACTTCAATGATTATTCAATGCATAAGATGAACGTACTATTGTAATCTTCATAATAAAAAGAAAAGTCTAAAAACAATCATATCGAGCCCCTTTTTCACAAAGATAAAAAGCCACATATCATGTCATAAATAAAAGTAAACGAATATCTAACGAAAACTATTATGTGGTTGCGAAACTTCTTGGTAAGTTATAAACCTACAAAGCAAACCTTGCCGGCTGGGGCATATCTCCGAAAGTAAGAAGAAACTTCCGCGGTATTCCACAAAATCTTCGTCTCGTAAATCTAAAGTCAATTTGGGACAACCTAAATTTTTAGTTATCCCGAAAAGTCTCGTTTTGAGCAAATATATGCAAAATGATTAAAGTTCGCAGCTTTAACTTTGCAGATTCTTTTGTAGGTTTACAACCTTACAACCTACCAGCAACCAGAAGGCGCTCCGAGTTGAACTCGTCGACGGTTCTAATATATGGAACAAATATTTTACAAGTATCACCCGTTAAAGATTTTTGTGCTCTGTAACCAAATTACTTCATGTCGCGCGCAAGCTCAAACTGGCAGTTAAAAAGAGCAACTCTATAGCGAGCCCGCCAGCCGCCAGGCAGTAAGGTTTTTTGGGTAGTAAGTCAACTATAAATGACAAATGAATGGCATACATTGTATGACCTGCCGGCCCTGTATCGTTTAAACTCTCAGGGGTGAAGTTACATGAGGACCCCAGGCTTTAATGTTGATAAACAACCGAATAGATTATAGAGATTAGGCGGAATGACAGGCTGAGCGCGGCCCAGTAAGGGTAAAGCGACAGTGGGGGTCACGACGTGATACTGATACAAATAAATGACAGTGACACGATTGGGGTGCTGGAAGTTTGATTTAGGTCGGAGGAAGCTCACAGCAGAAATCTTAACAAAACGAAATGTTGTATTTTCAAAACTCTGTCCCATTTTCAGATATGAAAATTTCTGAACACATATTTGACAGATTGGATGAAAATTTTGGCCACAAACCAATTAGTCAGTTAATTAATGATGGTATGAAAACAAAATGGACAGCTGGAAGTCAAAATCTCGAAAAAAATTGGAAAATCATACTGTCCCATACTCTGTCCCATTTTCAGTTTTTGAAGCTGAAATTTCCAGGGCCGAAATTTTACAGTTTTGACCGAATTTCTGACCTGCAACCAATTAGTCAGTCAACTATGGATGGCAAATGACACGATTGGAGTGCTGAAGTTTGATTTGGGTCGGAGGAAGCTCACAGCAATAATCTTAATAAAACGAAATGTTGTATTTTCAAAACTTTGTCCCATTTTCAAATATGAAAATTTCCGAACACACATTTGACAGATTGGATGAAGTTTTTGCCCGCTAACCAATTAGTCAGTTAATTGATGATAATATGAACCCAAAATGGACAGCTGGAAGTCAAAATCTCGAAAAAAATTAGAAAATCATACTGTCCCATACTCTGTCCCATTTTCAGTTTTCGAAGGTTAAATTTCCAGGGCCGAAATTTTACAGTTTTGACCGAATTTCTGACCTGCAACCAATTAGTCAGTCAACTATGGATGGCAAATGACACAATTGAGGTGCTGGAAGTTTGATTTGCGTTGGAGGAAGCTTGCAGCAGAAATCTTAACAAAACGAAATGTTGTATTTTCAAAACTCTGTCCCATTTTCAGATATGAAAATTTCTGAACACACATTTGACAAAACTGAGTGGAGTTGGGTTAAAAACATATAAGAGATACGATGATTTAACTTGTAGAAGCTTTCAATAAACATGTGTTAATCGTCGTCAGCTGAATGTGATGTGGTGGACAATGCTTATATGTGATTGAGTGGTGTCAGGGATGGAGGGTTGGGGAGGTGTGGGTGGGAAAGTGAAAATTACAGTACAATGTCAATGAAAGTTTAGTCTTCTGTTGAGGTTGAGAAGGAAATGCCAGATGGTCTGGACTTTAAGGATTTGGCAATTTTAGGAAGAATGGGGTCCCAGAGGGAACTATATTTGGGTGCGCGGTCTGTTCTGTTCATAGCTGGTTGTCGTATTTGTATAGCTGCGTGTTCTGTGAGGTCAAGTTGGGAGCGTGAGGTGAGGGATTTGAGGACTTCGATGTTGTTCCAGGAGATGGTGTGGCCGGTGGTCAGGGCATGATGTGCAGGGGCTGATTTGATTCTGTCTGTGGATTCGTCGATGGCGTTGTTGAGTCTGTAACATCGTTCGTGTTCTTTCATGCGGTGGACCAAGGGTCTGTAGGTCTGTCCGGCGTATTTGGAGGGGCACTGTGAGCAGGAAATTTCGTAGATGGTGTTGGGAGTGAGGTGAGTAGGGGGTGTGGTCTTCGTTTTGGTGAGGAGGTTACGGAGGGAGGTAGCAGAGGAGTGGGTGACTTTGATGTCGTGTTGTCCGAGTCTCTTGGAGATGGGTTTGGATAGGGAGGGATGGAAAGGAAGACAAACACTAAGGGCATGTTCACGGGTCTGTCGGTTGAATGAGGCTAGGGATTGGTAGCGAGAGGGGTTGGTGAATTTCCGTTGTACTTCGTCCATGATGGTGGTGATGCGGTGAGGAGGGAAGCCGTTCTGGAGGCAAACATGTCGTACTGTCTGGAGTTCGTCGTCAAGGTGTTGGGGTGAGCAGATGTTGTGGGCTCTTCTGGTCAGTGATCGGATGAATGCGTTCTTAGATGAGTTGGTGGTGCAGGAGGAGTACTTGGTGTAGAGGTTGGTGTGGGTGGGTTTTCTGTAGACTGATGTGGATTTGTCAGGGTGGATGAGAACGTCAAGGATGAAGGAAGGGTATAGTTCCGTCTGTAGACGGATGTACATTTGACAGATTGGATGAAATTTTTGCCCACAAACCAATTAGTCAGTTAATTAATGATGGTATGTAACCAAAATGGACAGCTGGAAGTCAAAATTTCGGAAAAAAATTGGAAAATCATACTGTCCCATACTCTGTCCCATTTTCAGTTTTTGAAGCTGAAATTTCCAGGGCCGAAATTTTACAGTTTTGACCGAATTTATGACCTGCAACCAATTAGTCAGTCAACTATGGATGGCAAATAACACGATTGGAGTGCTGGAAGTTTGATTTGGGTCGGAGGAAGCTCACAGCAGAAATCTTAACAAAACGAAATGTTGTATTTTCGAAACTTTGTCCCATTTTCAAATATGAAAATTTCCGAACACACATTTGACAGATTGGATGAAGTTTTTGCCCGCTAACCAATTAATCAGTTAATTGATGATGGTATGAACCCAAAATGGACAGCTGGAAGTCAAAATCTCGAAAAAAATTAGAAAATTATACTGTCCCATACTCTGTCCCATTTTCAGTTTTCGAAGGTTAAATTTCCAGGGCCGAAATTTTACAGTTTTGACCGAATTTATGATCTGCAACCAATTAGTCAGTCAACTATGGATGGCAAATGACACAATTGGGGTGCTGGAAGTTTGATTTGGGTCGGAGGAAGCTCACAGCAGAAATCTTAACAAAACGAAATGTTTTATTTTCAAAACTCTATCCCATTTTCAGATATGAAAATTTCTGACCACACATTTGACAGATTGGATGAAATTTTTGCCCATAAACCAATTAGTCAGTTAATTGATGATGATATGAAAACAAAAGGGGCAGCAAGAAGTCAAAATCTCGAAAAAAATTGGAAAATCATACTGTCCCATACTCTGTCCCATTTTCAGTTTTCGAAGGTTAAATTTCAAGGGCCGAACTTTACAGTTTTTACCGAATTTATGACCTGCAACCAATTAGTCAGTCAACTATGGAAGGCAAATGACACAATTGGGGTGCTGGAAGTTTGATTTGGGTTGGAGGAAGCTTGCAGCAGAAATCTTAACAAAACGAAATGTTGTATTTTCAAAACTCTGTCCCATTTTCAGATATGAAAATTTCTGAACACACATTTGACAAATGCTCTCATCTGTTGACTGGGCTCAACTCATCAACCTTTGCGACAAAGAGGATTTTCCAGAGCTATTCACTCTTATTACTCTACAAATCTGCCAGATTGGCTGTCCGAAGAATATCCCTCCCAAAACCCAAACTCGCTCATCTGTGCGCATCCCCTCTCGCAGAAAACGAAAGCTTCAAACCCAGCTAGAGGCTGCAAAAAGTAATCCCCATAGCCCTCCCACACAGATTGAATCTTTGAACCGGAAACTTGCTCTCGCTCATATGCATATTCGTGATGCCATCAACCAGGATCTCCTGTACCGTGAACAGCAAGCCGTAAGCAAGGTAAAAGAAAATCCCAAGTATTTCTATAGTTACGCTAAGAAATTTTCGAAGAAGAAAAGCAACATCAGCATGCTTTTTGATGGAAACGGTGCCATCAAATCAAATCCAAAAGATATTGCCAACCTCTTGCAGAATCAGTTCTTGTCAGTATTCAGTGATCCTTCGAAAACTCGGATCGACTCTGCTTCTTTCAGTCCCCCTCCGATCAAGCATCCTTTTACTGACGATATGCTGAATTTCTCCGTGGACGACATCATTAAGGCCATTGAAGACATCAAACCTAATGCTGCATCAGGTCCAGACGAAATTCCAGTCACCCTTCTCAAGAACTGCAAGAAAGCCCTAGCAGAACCAATGCACATCATCTGGTCCCGCTCTTTAGTTACTGGGGAGGTCCCTAGTTTCTATAAGTTCTCACACGTATTTCCTCTCCACAAGAAGGATAGTCGAGCCAAACCAGCTAATTACCGACCTATATCACTCACATATCATGTGGTTAAAGTATACGAGAGGGTGATAAGAAAAAAGCTGGTAAACTATTTGGAGATCAATAACCTCATATGTAGTAAGCAGCACGGATTTAGATCTGGCCGGAGTTGCCTTACTCAACTTCTCCACCATTTTGATGACGTTTTGGATTCTCTGAGCAACAATTCAGATTTTGATTCAATATACCTCGACTATGCCAAGGCTTTCGATAAAGTCGATCACAAA